AGTTACAACAAAGTGATCTTTCGTTCAAAATAATAGTTAACAACCACTCAACAAATCACCTGAATACCGTAGCTGCCACGAACAAAAATACTAAAAATTACAAATGGCAAGCCCGGAAATCAGTGAATAAAATGCAAGAAATATAGCAATTAATAAATGCAATACAAAAATAATAATAATTATGGAACAATTTGGACTGTTCGATACAGAAAAGGGATGGGTCACCGAAACTCAATCGTTACAATTTCCGAACGAGGGATGATGATGTGTGTGCACAAAAGAAAAATTATTACACAAATGAACGAAAATAACGTAAATGATGAATAGGACAGACGAGAAATGAGCAGGACAATGAACGGTGCCAGGGGCTCAAATACAACTGCGTAGAACCCTCGAGGGCCGGAGAACAGACCACAACAATACACCAAAAGCAAAACAAACTTATCTTCTCTCCAGTCCTTGATTCTTGGCCTCCCACAGAAAGAATGATGAGGATGATGATGATGACCGAGAACGACAGGCCTCGGTTGATCGGTGTCGGCAGAAACCACACAACAGCACACAATCTTGACCTTCCTCACACTTTTTACTGTCCGTCAAACTATTTCTCCTCTACGTCACTAAATTGTCACGACGCAAACGCAGCCCTATCACATTTAGTCCTTATTAATTACATTCCGTCGGAACAAATACGAAAACGAAAACAAACTATCACTTTATAGCGCTACGAGTGACCCAAGCCAACCCCGATGTCGCTATCAATAATTAAGAGTAGGCCCGGACAACGATGCAATATTTAAGAGAATAAACTCAGCAACGCTATCACAAACTTACTCGATAGCAACATCAAAATTAAGGGATTAACTCAATCACGTTAGCCCTACAATAGTGAACGACTAAACTTGAAGAAAAATAAATCAGTCAGCTAAACATACAAACTAATCTGTGTCTCCTTTTTAGACAAATACATTGGGTTCACAATTAACGCAGACAACTATTACTATCTAGCTACTACTATAGATTCAATTCCCAAGGACGAACGCCCCCATAATCTGTCACAAACCTCTGGTATGACCTTGCCGGTCCGTGGCTCGCTAACTAGGCCTATGACAGACAGCCTAACCTACAACACACACTGAACCCGAACGCACACAGAGCACACACGACAATCTTTATTGGAAGTACAGGTAATACATAGACAGTTGACTTCCCGCCGTGTGGCCACCTATTGCCTGGACCCTCTGGCTGGACGGGCTTTACAATCGCCCCGTCCCCAGTACGTGCGACAGGCAATACTCTGGTGTACAAACCACAATCCGGCAGGATACGCTCTCTTCTATCGCCACGCTGACCCAATCAAACTGTCACAGTCTCTGTCTTAGTGCAGGGTCAGAGTGTCCAGGTTAGCCACTCTCTCACAGCACATATACATAAATACTCTACACAAGAACTATCCTATCCTAACACAAAACTGTACATCAACTATCCAGTCACTAACAGAAATATATCCTAACTTTAATACTATAACATAAACTATCCAGTCACTAAACGTCCTCTCTTCCTGACTGACGCACACCGAATGTCCCTTCTTCCTTCTACCTCGTGTCTCTTAACCCCGTTCACCAGCTCAGTCCCAGAAGCAGTCATCGTGTTACTAAAACACAGTTCAGGCTTTCTTGCTTTATCCTGAGCGCTGGTTTCGCCGTGCGATCACAGAACGGACTTGACCAGTGACGGCCCTGACCTCTGTGTCAACCCTGGGTGCACACCTTACGGTGTGGTACACTGACTGTACTTAATAGGGTTGTGACAATACTCCAGATACAATGTTGTGTTGATTATGAACTGTGTAAGCACATGTTTCATACTCCAGATACAATGTTGTGTTGATTATGAACTGTGTAAGCAAATGTTTCATGCTCCAAATACAATGTTGTGTTGATTATGAACTGTGTAAGCACATGTTTCATACTCCAAATACAATGTTGTGTTGATTATGAACTGTGTAAGCGAATGGTTCATACTCCAGATACAATGTTGTGTTGATTATGAACTGTGTAAGCACATGTTTCATACTCCAGATACAATGTTGTGTTGATTATGAACTGTGTAAGCAAATGTTTCATGCTCCAAATACAATGTTGTGTTGATTATGAACTGTGTAAGCAAATGGTTCATACTCCAGATACAATGTTGTGTTGATTATGAACTGTGTAAGCACATGTTTCATACTCCAGATACAATGTTGTGTTGATTATGAACTGTGTAAGCACATGTTTCATGCTCCAAATACAATGTTTTCCTAATTATTACCTGTGTAAGCAAATGGTTCATACTCCAGATACAATGTTGTGTTGATTATGAACTGTGTAAGCACATGTTTCATGCTCCAGATACAATGTTGTGTTGATTATGAACTGTGTAAGCAAATGTTTCATGCTCCAGATACAATGTTGTGTTGATTATGAACTGTGTAAGCAAATGTTTCATACTCCAGATACAATGTTGTGTTGATTATGAACTGTGTAAGCAAATGTTTCATGCTCCAGATACAATGTTGTGTTGATTATGAACTGTGTAAGCACATGTTTCATACTCCAAATACAATGTTGTGTTGATTATGAACTTTGTAAGCACATGTTTCATGCTCCAGATACAATGTTGTGTTGATTATGAACTGTGTAAGCAAATGTTTCATACTCCAGATACAATGTTGTGTTGATTATGAACTGTGTGAGCAAATGGTTCATGCTCCAGATACAATGTTTTGTTAATTATTAACTGTGTAAGCAAATGTTTCATACTCCAAATACAATGTTTTCTTAATTATTACCTGTGTGAGCAAATGGTTCATGCTCCAAATACAATGTTTTCTTAATTATTACCTGTGTGAGCAAATGTTTCATACTCCAAATACAATGTTTTGTTAATTATTAACTGTGTGAGCAAATGTTTCATGCTCCAAATACAATGTTTTCTTAATTATGAACTGTGTGAGCAAATGTTTCATACTCCAAATACAATGTTTTCTTAATTATGAACTGTGTGAGCAAATGTTTCATGCTCCAAATACAATGTTTTCTTAATTATTACCTGTGTGAGCAAATGGTTCATGCTCCAAATACAATGTTTTCTTAATTATGAACTGTGTGAGCAAATGTTTCATACTCCAAATACAATGTTTTCTTAATTATGAACTGTGTGAGCAAATGTTTCATGCTCCAAATACAATGTTTTCTTAATTATTACCTGTGTGAGCAAATGGTTCATGCTCCAAATACAATGTTTTCTTAATTATGAACTGTGTAAGCAAATGTTTCACGCTCCAAATACAATGTTTTCTTAATTAATACCTGTGTGAGCAAATGGTTCATGCTCCAAATACAATGTTTTGTTAATTATGAACTGTGTGAGCAAATGTTTCATGCTTCAAATACAATGTTTTAATAATTATTAACTGTGTGAGCAAATGGTTCATGCTCCAGATACAATGTTTTGTTAATTATGAACTGCGTGAGCAAATGTTTCATGCTCCAAATAAAAATCTTTCGTTCTTCTTGTAGCTTGTGAATCGTTGTGCTAGGCACTGCCGTAGATGCTTGCCTTTGTTTTTGTTCATAATAAATACATGTTATTTGAATCTGCATTCAACAAGTTTTGGAAATGTTCACTTCTTCTTTTCCACTTTGTACCTCATCGAAGTGTCGGGGGCAGATGTAATGTTCGTTCATGGGCTCTGTCAAGAGCACTATTAAGACAGATGTTCATTTTTGTAAGGCTGTTCTTAATGCCATCACCCTATATTTTCCGAGGTCTTCCGCTCCTTCTATACCCGTTGTAACGTTTTATTGTGGCTCACTGTGGCAGATAGTACCAGGGTATTCTTGTTAGGTGTCCAAACCACTTCATTTGTTGTTCTTTGATGACCTGTAAAACTGGCTTTATTCCTAGCATTCGTCTGATTTCAGGATTTCTTATTCTGTCTTTCCTTGAAACTCCTGCAGCACTTCTAAGGCATTTCATCCCTGTTGTCACAATTTTACGTTCATTGTAAGATGTAAGGGAAATGTTCACTACATTCTTATTATGTTAACTGTGATTATGTGTTGTGGTTTTACACGCGCATGCTTCTCCGTCTTTACTGTGAAATACTTTTTTTTTGGGGGGGGGGGGGGGCTGTATAAATGGTGAGAGGGTCTTTGACTTGATTTTTTCGGTGCCCACATTTTCTAATTTAGTGGGGCCTCTTGCCATCTAGTTCACACAATAGGAAATGCTTTCTTAATGGAAAAATAATACACGGAGGTCATCTATTATATAGAATTATAGTCTCGCGCCATTTCTGAAGCATTTTGGTATACCTGATGTATGTAGTGATGTCTTCCTTGTAAAGTTTATCACTTCTTTGAAAAGAGTTGTCAATTTATGACAATCAATGTGTTTACATAACGTGAAATGTGCCAGCCATCTTGAACAGTTTACTGTTTGTGTCGTCACTACTTAGATATGGTATATCTTGTACACGATTTTTTAATATTGTTTTTTCCTTTGTTTCTTTCTCCCAAGTAAGAGGTAGAGAAGCAGAGAAAGAAAGAAAGAAAGAAAGAAAGAAAGAAAGAAAGAAAGAAAGAAAGAAAGAAAGAAAGAAAGAAAGAAAGAAAGAAAAAGAAAGAAAGAAAGAAAGAAAGAAAGAAAGAAAGAAAGAAAAAAAGAGAAAGAAAGAAAGAAAGAAAGAAAGAAAGAAAAGAAAAGAAAGAAAGAAAGAAAGAAAGAAAGAAAAGAAAGAAAGAAAGAAAGAAAGAAAGAAAGAAAGAAAGAAAGAAAGAAAGAAAGAAAGAAAGAAAGAAAGAAAGAAAGAAAGAAAGAAAGAAAGAAAGAAAGAAAGAAAAATATGTCACAAAAGAAAAAACAAATAAGTAGGAGAGACAGAATGATGACCAAATTATGAAGCGAGTTTCAAGTAACACTAGGCTCGTAACTGCATATCAATAAATAGTTACTGAAGCAGGGGATCTGTTATTTCGAAGGTATAACATGTTCCGTAGGTCGCAGTGTCTGTAAGCGTAAAGTTGTCAGCCGAGCACGATTTCTGAAATAAAATAAATTGTTTAGTTACCGAAACGATATCATGCCATATTTATGCATACTGCAAAGTATGTATACACAGTGGAACCTAAATTCTCGAACTTTTTTTTTCCCGGGGAATTCGGTTTCTGAACAAATTTGTCGAGAAAAAGAACACCGCTAGTCGTGAAAAAATGAACATTCAGAAAGGAGTTTGCCGCGAAATAGTAACCCTCACTCAGCGCAGATTCTAGCAGTATATGTTTGCCATTTTCTGTGATAAGACTCTTGAAAAACTTTTTGTTTTGTGCAGGAACTGATGTTGAAATGTCGTATTTTATTATGGTAAAGTTTCTGCTATCTCAAACATTAAAAGAAAAGAGATAGAGAGTGAGAGAGAGAGAGAGAGAGAGAGAGAGAGAGAGAGAAAGAGAGAGAGAGAGAGAGAGAGAGAGAGAGAGAGAGAGAGAGAGAGAGAGAGAGAGAGAGAGAACGAACGAACGAACGAACGAACTTTATTTTCAAAGGTTCACAAATTGGGCACGCAGGCCCGTCTTACATTCGACGTTTTAATTCAACCATCTTTCGCACAGAACTTGTATTTTACTAATAAAGAATGTTATGATCATATGAAGATATGCAGATTTAAAAAGTAAAAGTAAAGGACCCTTTTCCACGCCTTTAGGCATATAGGGCATAGAGGGCTAGACCTATATTTTTATAGACCAATTGGCACAAGATGGGTGATGTGGTCAGCATCACACCGGCCGCCTTTACTTTCCCGGGACTGCACCCGATACCCACTCAAGGTATGCATATTAGGAATATTATTAAAAAAAAACACAAAAGCATGAGTTGTAAAGTGCATGCAAAAACCCGCGCGTGCATACACACACCCATATACATACATACATACACCCACATACACACGCTTACCCACTCACTTACACACACATAGATACATACATGTATACATACATTACATACATACAGGCATACATACATACACAGATACATACATACACAGATACATACATACATACATACATACATACATACATACATACATACATACATACATACATACATACATACATACATACATACATACATACATACATACATACATACATACATACATACATACATACATACATACATACATACATACATACATACATACATACATACATACATACATACATACATACATACATACATACATACATACATACATACATACATACATACATACATACATACATACATACATACATACATACATACATACATACATACATACATACATACATACATACATACATACATACATACATACATACATACATACATACATACATACATACATACATACATACATACATACATACATACATACATACATACATACATACATACATACATACATACATACATACATACATACATACATACATACATACATACATACATACATACATACATACATACATACACACATACATACATACATACATACATACATACATACATACATACATACATACATACATACATACATACATACATACATACATACATACATACATACATACATACATACATACATACATACATACATACATACATACATACATACATACACATACATACATACATACATACATACATACATACATACATACATACATACATACATACATACATACATACATACATACATACATACATACATACATACATACACATACATACATACATACATACATACATACATACATACATACATACATACATACATACATACATACATACATACATACATACATACATACATACATACATACATACATACATACATACGTACATACGTACGTACGTACATACGTACGTACATGCATACATACACACACATTCATGCACACAGGGACACTCACACAGAGACACACACACTCACTTAGACAAAAATACAGACACGCACACAGACTTCTTCTTCTTCTTCACTTCCTCTTTTACCGCTGTGGGTGTCGAGGGAGATATAAGGTTCTGTTTCTAGCTCTTCTGGCTGCTCGACACACGCAGGCACTTACATATAAACACACACAGGGAAACACACAGCAGACATATATACATTCGTGCTCACACACATACACACACACATACGCAGACAAACATTCAGACACATACATACAGCCACATAGACACACACGCAGTCAAACACACACACACACACAAATACAGACAAACAGACACCCACATAAACAAACACGCAGAAATGCATACACAGACAAACACATAGAAATACACACGCAGACACATATATTCAGCACGCAGAGACATATACTCTGACATGCAGACACATACACACAACAAAGGGGCACAAACAATACACACAGAGAAACGCACATAGACATGCACACACAGACAGACACATGCTGACACATACACTCACGCAGACAGACATACAGACACCCACACACAGAGATACATACATACAGCCTCATAGACACACCAGCAGACAAACACATGTAAACATACACAGGCAAACATGCAGTCAAACACATACGAGGATACACACAGACACACACGAAGATATACACACAGTCACGTCAAATATGCAGACAAACACCGAGACACACACACATGCAGACAAATACAAAGACACACACACAGACACACATACACAGTCACATATACACAGCCACATGTATCCAATCGCACACACACACGCAGACACACGTACACAACAAAGAGGCACACTTAAACACACAGAAACACACACAGACCAATTCATCGTGAAACATACACGTGGACATACGCGCGAACACACACATTCGCACACATACACAAGGACACAGACGCATACATTCGCAGACACACACGCAGATACACAGGCAGACAAACAACGTACTCAGAATCATATGTATACAAACACGCCAACAAATACATACATATCACGCGCGCGCGCGCAAACATACATATCATACACACCTTGTTTAATAATAAATTGATAATCCAATATGGGAGAGCGAGAGAGAGAGAGAGAGAGAGAGAGGGAGAGAGAGAGAGCCGTTATTTGATTGGTCAGGTTATGGAAATAAAGACACCGTAATATGGCGTTGCCACTGGAAAGATCTGTGCAACATGAGAACGAGGAAGACATAACCAGACGAATAATAACAGGCCTTTGTGCATAGCATGATTAACTGTCAACACACCAACTGATATATGCTGATCGCAGCTTGTGAAGTCAGCAAAGCACTTGATAAAGATGATGAAATACCTGCGGGCGCTCTCACCCCCCCCCCTCCCCCCCCACCATAACCACCACCACCCTAACTCCTCAGAGACAACCCATCGACCAGGAGCTTATTATTGCCAGCGTGAAGAAACTACAGTAATTCAGTGTTTCAAAAGTGGCTTCAATATAACCTCTGTCTGTTACACAATTATCCAGTTGTAAGAAGAGATCAATTCGCTGTAACCATTAGCAACCAAAGATTCCACCAGAGAGGGAGGGTATCATTTGATAATTTCCTCCTGGTTGCCTCGCTCTGGCAAGACAAACGAACCCCCCCCCCCCCCCCTTTTTTTCCCCCACGGCAATAGGAAGAGCGTTCGCAAATTCTAAGCCATTGATGCCGACAAACTGAGTGGCGTATTTGTAATTAATAGTGAGCAGTAATAGTAAACTGGAAAATAATGATTTCTCGTCTTTCGAATGTTGAATGTCGAATTAGGTATCGACATCACAGAACTCGGGACACCCCCATAAGCGCTTTATCACCATCTACAGCAGCAAGAAAAGAGTTAATTCTGATGGTACCAGTAACCGACTGATTGTATTTCTGTCTCGCCTTTCCCCTGAGTGTGGACCATCGATCAGATCCCCGTGTAAATCCTTGCAGTGACATTTTCTTCAGACCCTAATGATCTATTTGTTCCTCGGTTCACCAACAAGTGGTGCAGAACCGGTCAGTCTATCTGCCTGCTCATTTCCTAAGACACCGGCATGACCTGAAGAAAATATCCAAAGAATGCTAACTACCCGGGGATCTCTGAAGTGATGCTTGCCACTCTGCACGGAGCATGCCTGTCTCCACCTTTCTCAACATGCTCTGTAAGTAAGTTACAATGACGGTATGTATGTACGGCTGATTCTTAAGCCAACAGAATGCAACAGTGACTGCCTCCACCTCCATTCTCACTCTAGACGTTGTGATATCATATGCCAGGCTTTGTTGCACTAAGCGACGTATGAATGATCATAACAGTTCAGAGTTTAGACTTACCTTTGTATACTTCGACTGGATGTGCTGCAGACACTACTCGAAAAGATAGATGTTTCTTATCTTCTTACTCCGTCACATAAAGTCACACAAAACTGTTCTAGACATTCTAAGAGAAACTATTTGTCTTGTTCTCCTTTTGTCGACTCACTGAGACCAAGAAGTAACCCATTGTTGTAGTTTCTGTATTTTTCTTGCGCTTCTTGGGTGGCCTGGGTGATGGATTTGATGGATTTGTTCTTCTTTGCTTTTTTGCAGGTTTCAGCTACACCATTTATCAACATCTTTCTTGGTCTTCCTCTCGTCTTCTTTCCAGGTGTTCTGCTGTAAAGCCTCACGTGCAGTTTGATCTGACTGCATCCTCACCTCCAGCATGGGAGGGGGGGGGGGGGGTAACAACTGTTCAAAATTTCGACAATCATTCTCAGCGACCCTAATTTCCATTAGCTACTTGTCGGAACCTTCTGAGTACAGTCATGTGGAGTGTACCACACAATGGGTGTGCCATGTTCATGGTACAGCACAGAGTTGACACAAAGGTCAGTGGCGTGACTAGCCAAGTCTGTACTGTTTGCGACGGCGAAACTAGCACTCAGTGAGTCATGGTACAAACACGTTGTGAACTTGTTTGTAACAGAGTTCACCCTTGCTTGTCGTCTTCAAGTGGTCTCTACTGAGCGCTAGTTTCGCCGTCGTAAACAGCACAGACTTGGCTAGTCACGCCACCGACACAGGAGATGCGGAAGCTGCTGCTCGTGGGTCCTAGCCATCTAGTTTAGCCCCAATCCACGCCGCGTGAGCGGCGTGCGGGACTCCAGGCGGTGGCGATAGTCGCCGGAAAACCGCCGGAGAACCGCATATTAAGTCGCCGAAAGTGTGCAATTGACACGTGACTGGGGCTCGAAAGGATATTTCCGGCCGTTATCTTTACCGACCGATATTCGGAGGGTAGCCCTGAATTTTGTTGTGATTGCTGAACATTGAAGATGATGAGAGGGAAGGTAGAACTAGAAAGATGATTTGCACAAAGAGACACTATGGAGGAATATATTAATAACAGAGAAGGTGGTATGGAGATGAAAGGCTGGCTTTTAGGGGAAAGAGGTTGTTGAGAAGTCCAAGATTTACTTAAGTATTTAGGCGCTGGAAAGATACTTGCTATCAAACTTACTGACCTAATATTTGAAAACAACAAAAGGTTGTTTGTGTATATATAATAGTACTGTACTCACTCTGTTAAAAATACACTTCCATAGCATCTTCGATATGTTATGTCCTGATGTATCTCTATTGTCAAAAGTATCAGCCTGCATCAGCAAGTTGAGATTTGTATCTTCTGGTGCCACCTCATACTGATGGAAAACATAACAAGAAATAGATTTGTATCTTCTGGTGCCACCTCATACTGACTGAAAACATAACAAGAAATAGATTTGTATCTACTGGTGCCACCTCATACTGATTGAAAACATAACAAGAAATAGATTTGTATCTTCTGGTGCCACCTCATACTGATTGAAAACATAACAAGAAATAGATTTGTATCTTCTGGTGCCACCTCATACTGATTGAAAACATAACAAGAAATAGATTTGTATCTTCTGGTGCCACCTCATACTGATTGAAAACATAACAAGAAATAGATTTGAACAAAGAAGATGCAAACAATAGATCTCACAATTTATTGCTTGGGATTTTTCGCTGTGTGTCGTCCGGTGCATACTACAGTATCAATTAAATAAAGGAAGCAAATAAGTGAATCCTTTGTAACTAAAACACAAATGTAATCACACTATAAAGCGCATGCCTGCTTTAAGCAGACCAATCGCAAGGTCACAGCAATGCGTAAAGTTAAGGACCAAGGTAGCGAATCGTGGTGGCTTCGAAGAATCTTAGTGCTCTGCTACTGGATGACGTTTAAGAATTTGGCATGCACTCTCCTTGTTTACACTGTGCCCAGAAAAATAAATTATGCAGTCTATTGTTTTTGTCTTCCTTTTTCAGATTTACTACATGGAAATATTACTTTCATTTAGGAAACACATTGTTTTAACTTAGTTTCTAACGGGTTTAAACACAAGACATGAATTTACTTTACTAGTTGCAAACAAGTTAAAGGTGTGATATAATGCTAGAAAGTTCCCCGTGTAGTTTCGAGACAGACAGACAGACAGACAGACAGACAGACAGACAGACAGACAGACAGACAGACAGACAGACAGACAGACAGACAGACAGACAGACAGACAGACAGACAGACAGACAGACAGACAGACAGACAGACAGACAGACAGACAGACAGACAGACAGACAGACAGACAGACAGACACACAGACGACCGACCGACCGACCGACCGGCCGACCGACCGACCGACCGACCGACCGACCGACCGACCGACCGACCGAACGACCGACCGACCGACCGACCGACCGACCGACCGACCGACCGACCGACCGACCGACCGACCGACCGACCGACCGACCGACCGACCGACCGACCGACCGACCGACCGACCGACCGACCGACCGACCGACCGACAGATAGATAGGTAGATAGATAGATAGATAGATAGATAGATAGATAGATAGATAGATAGATAGATAGATAGATAGATAGATAGATAGATAGATAGATAGATAGATAGATAGATAGATAGATAGATAGATTAGATAGATAGATAGATTAGATAGATAGATAGATTAGATAGATAGATATATAGATTAGATAGATAGATAGATAGATAGATAGATAGATAGATAGATAGATAGATAGATAGATAGATAGATAGATAGATAGATAGATAGATAGATAGATAGATAGATAGATAGATAGATAGATAGATAGATAGATAGATAGATAGATAGATAGATAGATAGATAGATAGATAGATAGATAGATAGATAGATAGATAGATAGATAGATAGATAGATAGATAGATAGATAGATAGATAGATAGATAGATAGATAGATAGATAGATAGATAGATAGATAGATAGATAGATAGATAGATAGATAGATAGATAGATAGATAGATAGATAGATAGATAGATAGATAGATAGATAGATAGATAGATAGATAGATAGATAGATAGATAGATAGATAGATAGATAGATAGATAGATAGATAGATAGATAGATAGATAGATAGATAGATAGATAGATAGATAGATAGATAGATAGATAGATAGATAGATAGATAGATAGATAGATAGATAGATAGATAGATAGATAGATAGATAGATAGATAGATAGATAGATAGATAGATAGATAGATAGATAGATAGATAGATAGATAGATAGATAGATAGATAGATAGATAGATAGATAGATAGATAGATAGATAGATAGATAGATAGATAGATAGATAGATAGATAGATAGATAGATAGATAGATAGATAGATAGATAGATAGATAGATAGATAGATAGATAGATAGATAGATAGATAGATAGATAGATAGATAGATAGATAGATAGATAGATAGAATATATATGCAAACCAATCAATCCTTTAACAAATAAATAGACACCATCGTTGTAGAATCCTAACATGTGACGAATGATGACTTGTAAAGATATAAACAAGAATCAATATGGTCTTAGATGTAAGATGTTATAAGAAGGGATAGATGCATGAACTTGGCAACGACTGGCCAGACTGATGGGAAAAGAGCAAGCAAAAGGAAAAAACTATAAATACCGGGATAACTTGGCCATATGGCAAATGCTAGAAAAATACACTGACGTGATTAACGATTCTGGTGATCATGTCAGATCGTGAAATTATAACATATACGCCTATTTGAATGGCACATGATGACGATGAGACGCAAACAATCCGAACAAGTAGTAAACCTAGGATAGATAAGGAGACAGATAAATAGAACTGTAAACAGATACAGAGAGAATTAAAGACACTTTTACAAACACAGAAGTAACCTCTACAAATCCTGAAGTGGCTTCCAGCAGTTCAGGACTAATCATCGACTTCCTCTTTCTGTTCAGGTTACAGATCGTGATCCCTGGAAACTCCGCGTACACTTCGTGCTTCAGGGTGACCACCGTGGTCACTGGATAACTATAGAAGTCAGTTATAGTGGTCACAAACTGATAGGCTGCAAATCCGACACCAAACAAAAACAGCACTGACCACACCAATCGTTTCCATTTACTGGTGGTGGTAAGCACTCGATTAATGCCATGCATGGTCGTGCTCCCTCCAAAGTCCCGATACAGTTTCTTCAACGATTGTGTTTCTGATTCATCCCCTGCCATTGTTCGTTTTTTAAATGGAATTGGGGTCTTTTTCTCCTTAGTGGGTCAAATTCTGTGGCTTACTGGTTAAGAACACGATTTCGGGATTTCAGTATGCCAGATCAGATTATGATACACGTGATTTGGCAGCAGACAGTTTTATTTTGATTTCTATAATGGTAAAAGCGTTGGTTGTTCAATCAGTTTTGCGTCGATTTCTAGAAGGATTAGAAAGTCGATTGTTTAGAAAGTCGATTGTTCAATCAGCCTCGTTTCGATTCATAAAAGGGTTAGATCGTCGATTGTTCAATAAACTTTGTGCTGATTTTTTTAGCGTGGTTAAACTGTCGACTATTTAGGCAGCTTTCTGTGGATTTTTAAGCGTGGTTAAACTGTCGACTGTTTATGCAGCTTTGTGTTGAATTTTTAGCTTGGTTGAACTGTCGACTGTTTAGACAGCTTTGTGTTGAATTTTTAGCTTGGTTGAACTGTCGACTGTTTAGGCAGCTTTCTGTTGATGTTTTAGCATGGTTGAACTGTCGACTGTTTAGGCAGCTTTCTGTTGATTTCTAGCAGTGCTAAAGCGTTAGTTGTTTTGTCTGTTTTGTGTTGATTTCTAGGAGTAAAACAACGTTCATTTTTCAGGGAGCAGTGGAAAACTACTAAATATAAACCGTCCTAATAATACCTTAAATAGCTAACAAATGACAAGGTGTTTGTAGTTCTCTAAAGAATATGCAGCTCACTTCTTTTATTACTGTTATTTCTTGAAGAGGCTCACTCAGCTACGTTCGTAATTTGCCAAAAAAAAAGTCCATCAATCGTCAAAAAATTATTGATTCTGGTCCAGAGTATTGTTTTCAGTCTTGTGACTGAAAAGAAACATGTAACTTGATTAACATAGTACTTTATATTTCCATTCTTTTGATTGTCATATTATCTGCTGGTAAATGGTATGCGTTTTTATCTCTTCCAACTGGCTATAACAGAGTACGAGCCAAGCACCGTAAGCATTAAGTGATTTTGGTGTTCTTCTTCTTCTTTTGTCAAAATCTGCTTGTGCCGCTAGGCGTCGCAGTCTATCAGATGATCGGCAACCGAGCCAGGGCGCGCTCAGTCGCTTCATATGCCGTGATGTTATGAAGTCTCAAGTTGTCCGTGACTCCTTCAATCCATCTTCTTCTTGGTCTTCCCCTGCCTCTTGTTGTTTCGATTTTCATGTTGTATGCTCTTGATGCTGGCATCGTTGGTTCCATTCTCATTAGGTGACCAAACCATTTCATTCTTTGCTTCTCAATAAATTTAACGATGGGTATGGTTCCAATAGTTCTTGTAATCACATCGTTTCTCACTCGATCTCTTCTGGTTTTATTCGCAGCCATTCTCAAACATCTCATTTCACAGGTGGTTAGTCTTCTCTCATGTTCTTTTGTTAATGTCCAAGTCTGACATTGATAACCTAATGTCGGTATAAAGATTGTATTTATAATTTGTCTTTTTTTCTCAGCTGGGACAGCAGGGTGTTTTAAAATTGGGGCAAGCTGGTATGCGACATTGTTGGCTTGTTGGATTCTTGCTTCAATCTCTCTGTCTATTTTACCATTGGATGTAAAGATACTTCCTAGGTATTTAAATTCTTGCACTTGTTTTAGGCTGTGATCTAGAATCTTTATGTCGATGGTCTGTTGCTCTCTACTTATGCTCATGACTTCTGTCTTTTCAGTATTGATCTTCATATGATGCTTGAGGCAACTGTCGTGTAGTAGGTTCATGTGGTCTTGCAGCTGTTTACTATCACTGTGAAATATGCATTGATCGTCGGCAAAGAGCAGCTCATTGAAGTCCTCCTGTTTATCGACATCTGTTGGTGTTATGTCTATTTTATTAATACAATGAGTGAGAGATGGCTGACCTGTTCTCGAGCCCTGATTGTTGTTACGTTTGATGGATTTTCTAATCTCATATATTGTTTCTAGAGCAGATTTTTGTGAACTCTTAAATCCACTGCCGATTTGCTGGACCTGACACAGATTCATCCTTAAGAGAACATCCTTAAGATTTTGGTGTTAAAAGCGTTAATTGTGCTTACTTTCTCTAAGTGGTCTCGAGACATTGTGTTCACCTCGAGTTCTAGAGGTTCCGAGTTCAATCCCTGGTAAGGGCTGGTATTTTTTTTTTCAAGTGAACTTGGACTTCTAGTAATTCCCCACCCCCCACCCCCTCCCCACCCGATCTCTTGGTAGTCGGACGCCCTTGTGCATTGTTGCAAACGTAAAAATATCTTGGCAGTTGCAAATCAAACAGAGTAGTCTAACAGCGCTGCCCAGGAAAAAGATTTTTTTTTTTAAATCTACCTAAAGTATTTCAGGATCCTCCCTGGTGCTACAGAGCCTGTGCATTGTGCTGAGCTGCTTCGGACTCAGAGTTGAGTTAGAAATAAGAACGGGCACTTACGGGTTACTACCCTTGTGTCGTAATGTTGATCCGTTTTTCAAACCTCAAAACTTACTTTATCTTCTTCTCTTGTTTTGTGTTTCTTTTTGAAGAAGCAGCTGATAAGAGCCTTCGTTTGTGCTATGTGGGTGATCGTATTTACGCCTTTTGATATTCTATCCATCCATTGTTTGCGTAGTCGACCTCTGTGTTTTATTCCATTACATCTAAGTGAAGGGTTTTCTGTTGTGCACTGTGTGATAGTTTTTGACACTTGTCCAGACCACTTGATCTGTTATTGTTTAATGTAGTTTAAAATTGGTTGCGTCCCAACTTTTCCTGATATCGCTAGGATCTGTTGGTTGCTCCAATGAAATTATTGTGTTTTTCAGTTTAGTGAGTCAAGCACTGTGGCTTTCGGTTTATGAACACCATTTCGTAATATCAGTATGCCAGAACGAATTAAAGTACATGCAGACCGTTTTATTTTGATTTCTAAAAGGGTAAAAGTGTTGGTTGTTCAATCAGTTTTGTTTTGATTTTTAGAAAAGTTACATTTAGAATTCTTCGTAGGCAGTTCTGTTGTTTCGACTTTAATTATATCCATTGTTGTTAATGTCCGTGTGTCGCATTAATAACACAGTGTTGGTCAAAATACTGTAATGAAAAGTGCTCTTTTGTTGTTGATTGTTACATGCTATACTACATTGTAACATTTATTTAGTCGCTATGTAATTCACTTCTAAGTTTGGTAAAAAGTATTTCAAACAGGAAAGAATAAGTCCTATAAATATATTCTTAGTCAGTCAGTCTGTTTCTTTGAGATGTATTTTAAGATTCAAATCTTACAAGTCAAACTTCAGATGTGTTCATTCCCTGGCTTGAGTGGCGGCCGACTTTGCTCTGGTTTTACGTTACCCCACGCGAGACTGCTGTCTTATCACGGACAATGGTCAATTTATCGGCCTTAACTGAGATTGAAGGATATTTTGGAGCTGGAAGTCCTAGAGATGAACTATCCAGAAAGAATCCTCAATAGATGGATGATAACGCCTATCGAACACACGTCTACGGAATTAATGACAACAAGTGATAAAGTTTCCTACTAAAAAAGAAACTTTAGTTTAAACGTCTGTCACTGAATGTCCTATTAGATGCAGCTAAGGTTAAAAATTCCTTTCATCGATTGTCCTACTCAATAACAATTTAGGTTCTTAGTCTTACTAAATGACAACTTAGGTTCATAGTCTTACTAAATGAGAAATTAGGTTCATAGTCTTACCAAATGACAACTTAGGTTCATAGTCTTACTAAATGAGAAATTAGGTTCATAGTCTTACCAAATGACAACTTAGGTTCATAGTCTTACTAAATGAGAAATTAGGTTCATAGTCTTACCAAATGACAACTTAGGTTCATAGTCTTACTAAATGAGAAATTAGGTTCATAGTCTTACCAAATGACAACTTAGGTTCATAGTCTTACTAAATGAGAAATTAGGTTCATAGTCTTACCAAATGACAACTGGTGTTCATAGTCACACTAAATGACAACTTAGGTTCATAGTCTTACTATATTAAAGTCATTGTAAGACCCTACTTGATGACAGAAAAGGTTTAGATGTATGTCTTTACCATTGGTCATACTCATCAGAGTGTCAGGACCATAGCGAGAAGCCATGCCTGGTGTATGCTTTCAATATACTGTCGTGATGAAAGCCGCAAGTATCCACGAGAAAGACACCACGGACTAACAGAGAGGTACAGGCTGAGGAAGGGAGATACCCATTTTGTGTTGATCATCGAATGCTTACCCATTTTGTGTTGATCATCGAATGCTTACCCATTTTGTGTTGATCATCGAATGCTTACCCATTTTGTGTTGATCATCGAATGCTTTTCTGGCCGGGAATCCCCAAAAGCGCAGCTGATGATTCTTGGACATTTCAATTTACGAATGTGTGGTTATGTAACTGTGTGCAGGACTTGATTCATTTAAGTGAGCCAGTACAAGAGTACCAATTTTTAACTATATATTTATTGATGCCCCTTCTATGATGGGTCTGTCCATGTTCTATCCCTGACTAAAAAAAACCGACAAGTCTAGATGTGTCTGTCCTGGGTGGGGGGAGGGGGGGCTCTGGGGGTAACACCTGTGAACGGTGGGTGTAGAAACCGTCACACAAAGAATATGTGAAATGCCTCACAATGTCCCCACGAAACTAACCGACAAGGCTAAGCTCCTAAAAGAAGACATTTAGCTGTGTCAATTGAAAGGCACAAATATCAACAAATCAATAAATTGTTCCAGTCGCACGCAAATAAAACAGCACAGTAATTCAATAAATCGATGACATTAGACGACACAATACTACCGACTACAACCAATTTACACATACTACCTGCACAGCTGAAGGGATGGTAATTTCTGCATGTTGACATCCACATGAATACCGCTGTCGTCTGTAATCCAGAACAGTAACACTCATGTCCTTACTCATCCATGAAGACATCACGGAGAGAGAACTGTACAAGCCGAGACACTTACATAGAAATGATGGCATCACTGAGAGCCGGCTTACGTCACAG